ACACACGTGCGCACAACAGTAGACACACACACACTCAAACACAGGCACATTACCAACAATGACGATCCCACTACAACTCTGTCCTTTATTAAAATGGTGGTGCCAAGAGAGGAGTGGTGATTGATGTGAATGTATGACATTGACGAACCAGCACAGACGGTCACGCTGGTCAACAGAGCGTGCAGAATGCAGGTGGCAGTTAAGGCAGGACCTCCTCGGGAAGTTCAGGGTGGTGGAGGACGAAGCTACAGGATCGACGCGCCCAAGACCCCGATCCAGAATCTGGAGATTGATCCAGGCGAGCGGGCATGGAGGCTACCAACCAGGGTAGTACACGACAAGAGGGTCAATCTACTCAACTACACCACAGGACTGGGGTCCAAACTGAGAAGACAATCAGCAAACGTCTAGGAAATTATGACCCAGAGATGGGGGAAACACATGCACGGTGGCCTCAGGGGGACTACTAAACTACCGTGGAACGGAGCACCTCTGGGGTAGGGCACGACAGCAATTACAGGCACAGCATTCACCGATGACCGTCAGGCCATCTTTACCGGCTTCATGGAGCCAAAATGCCAAAGGGACTGGGAAAATGGGAGAGGAAACTCCACAGGAGATTGTGGGACCTTTGGTATCGATCCTGAGTAGCACGCAGATTCGCAGAGGAAAAGAAGTTGCAAGCAGGCGATCGAGAATCAGCAGGTAACACAGGAGGAAGCTTGGGAGGGTTTGTCATTGATTGTGGACACCGACCAAGTGCCACGTGGACTGGCAGAGGAACAAAAGGCAGATTAGAAAGAACATGGAAAAGAACCAGGAGATTATAGTCAATTTCGTGAAAGATACATCAGGGGAGGAAACGTTCAGATCTTGACAGAAAACACGATAAAGTTGGTGTGGAGGTCAGTGGCGAGGGGAGAGACAAGCGAGTCCGCAAGCGGAGAGGCCCAATCGACACTCAGCGATTCAAGAAACGCAAGCACCATCCTCGGCTTAGGACAGGGGGAGGGAGATAACATAGGAAAAACAATAGGAAATAGGAAATAGGCTTCAGACCACCACGGTGAGTTGTGCAGCACTTCAAGGTGTTGAGTTGGCCTGTCAACAGTGTGAAGCCAAAACACTTGTTTTCTGAAAGCCAAAGCCTTGAAGGTCAAGAAGGGATGCTGGACCCGGTTTCAAGCATAGCTGAAACTGGTTAATGGCCCCAGCTCTCCAGGTTGTTTGCGGAGGGATTCCGGCCTCAGTTTTCCAGTGTTATTAAAAGGCTGCAAACTTAGTACAAAGTTGGCAGGAAAAACGAAAAAAAATGGAACAAAATTCAACAAATCGTATTTTCTATAACAGAATGAGGCCTTGGAAGAGTCTGAACTCTCCAGACAGACATATGAGACAGAGAAGCCAGAAGTCGAGGCCGGTTTCCAGCATAGCTGAGAGACAGAGAAGCCAGAAGTCGACGCCGGTTTCCAGCATAGCTGAAACTGGTTAATGGCCCCAGCTCTCCAGGTTGTTCGTGGAGGGATCCCGGCCTCCGATTTCCATTGTTATTAAGAGGTTACAAAGTGGGGGGGGGGAAAAAGCGGAACGAATCGTATTTTTTTATAACAGAATGAGGCCTCGGAAGAGTGTGAACCCTCCGGACAGACATATGAGACAAAGAAGCAAGAGTTTGCGGACGAAGCCCGAGTGCTCACCATGATCGCTAAAACTGACCCAACCTTGACTTCCCGAGAACCCGCAGGTATCAAAATCTTTGCCAAAAACCTGCAAAAGGGGCCCATGCAAGGGACACGGTTAATGAACCACACTGCTAAATTGCTGATGTTACTTTGACTGTTTGACAATGATAGGGAAAACACACATGGCTTGTCTGTGATTGAAAGAAAGGGAAAACAGGCAAGTGGCATTATCTCAAGCGCTGTTCGAGATGGAACAGGTTATACAGCAGTGTTAGGTCTGCACCTGGACCAGTGTCCTAAGCAGGCCTGCACCACACAATGAAACAGACGTCTGGTCCATGATATACGTTCGCAAGCCTGGACAAAGACTGTCTGGACTTCGGGATCACCAACCACCAAGGGCCTGCGAGACAGTCCGGCCAATGACCTGCATACTGATCAGATTTGAGGAACGACCTGACACCTGCATGCTGTTTAGTTTGAAAATGTTCAAGACCTGATGATGTGTAAGGCTGTGCTTACAGAATCAGGCCACCTCTCTCTCTCTCTCTCTCTCTCTCTCTCTCTCTCTCTCTCTCTCTCTCTCTCTCTCTCTCATGAAGATGAGAATCAATTAATTGATGCCCATGGACGGAAACAGGCAGAGACACAGACCGGCTCTCCTATTCATGCATTCATCCATATAATTGATCATTCATGAGTTCATGTACATGCAGGGATGAATGGACTAGGTGCATGGGAAAATATTGACAGACTGTTGAAGAGATGGCAAGAGGAAGGGCAGGCGAATGAACGGTTTGATGAATGAACGCCGCATATGAATGAGTGGATGAGCCGGGGGAATCAAAAGATGAAGCAATGGACTCGTGACCAGGGTTGCATACCTGCCGACCGCCGACGCCGACCGCTGACCGTTTTGCAGCCAACCAGTTGGCCTGACCGGTCTGCTGTTTGCCGACCAGTCAGAAATCAACCATCCACTATTTTTTTTCAAATCTGAGTTGGGGCCTGTACTGCGCTTGCTGAGTTCAGCCTGAATCAGCTGAGGAACTTTTCGGGATGAGGGGGGGGGTAATGAAGGTGTTGGGGGGTCGTATGGGGGTATTGGGGGCCGGTATGGGGGTGTTGGTCGGGTAATTAGGCGTTCTGGATGGCCCAAAAAAAAAAAAAAAAAAAAATTGCGGGGTGCCAAGGACCCCCAATGTTACATACTTCAATGAGTATGGGCAGAACCAAAGATCAACCAATATAGGATGAGCATTTATGCAGCGGAAGTCTGATAACGGACTGACTCACATAGACTGACTCACATAGACTGACTCACATAGCATCACTCCACACACATACAATCGTGAGATGGTGGGGTCTGAGCCATACAAAGAAGGTGCTCAGCCCCGTACACAACATACA